CCTTTCTGAACACACAGGCCCATTTTCAGCAGGATGACGTGCTTGGGCTGAGATATGATCAATGTGAAAAGTGGAACCGGAGGAAATGGTCCTGGAACCCACTAACCTAGAGGCTCTGATAAGATGCTTTGCCCATAAAAATGTTATTCTTATTAAATCCCGAATGAATCAGGCTCCCGTCTCCTACGTGAGGCTTTGCAGGAGTCTGCCTGGTGAGTCTCCTCTGAAAGAGATCTAATTCACTTTGCTAAAAGTTCAAGAATCCACCCCTGAGGGCTCCCTAGCTCCTTTTAAAGAGCAGAGATAGGACCCTCATCGTTATTTATTTCAGCACTTCTTACGCACTGGGAGCCCTGCTAAGCCTTGTGTGATAGCACCTCCGTGTATACGCCCAGCAGCTGTCAGATAGGGACCGTCATTCCCATTTTCCAGATGAGGAGAGTGTGGCTCAGAGTACGTTGCCCAAGACCATACAGCTATCATAACAGTTTTCTGTCGCTGCGGAACAGATTTCCACTAAATGAGCAGCTTAAAACAAACACAAACTTGTATCTATGTTATTTTCTCAGAGTTTCCACAGGTCAGGAGTCTGGCCACAGCTTAGCTGGCTCTTCTGCTCAGAGTGTCACAAAGCTTCGACCCCGGTGTCCACTGGGCTGCACTCCTTTCTGGATCTTTCTGGATCTTTCCCAGGCTCTCCTGGTTGTTGGCAGAATTCAGTCCCTTGTGGCTACAGGAATGAAGTCCCCCTGTTTCCTTGCTGGCGCTCAGCTCCTAGAGGTGCCCGCAGGTCCCTGCCATGTGGCCACTCCCACTCCAGGCCGCCAGGACTCAGTCTGATAGCCTGTAATCATGGGAATGACCCCACCACCTTTGTCCTGTTCCCTAGGCTGGACAGATGTCACAGGTTAAACCATTCAACCTCCCAGCTTTCCGTGGACTCATCTGCAAGATGAGAGCTTGCTCCCAGGTTGTGTCTAACTGACTGTTTCTTGTCATTCACATGACAACCTAATGTCACGTCTTCTGAAAGTCCTTCCCTGGCCACCTACCAAAAGCAGGTCTCTTTTCTAGACCCTGATTTGTTCTCTTCAGAGCACTTGTCTCAACTTGGGGTCGTGTCACTTATTCACCCCTGTCAGCCTCCTAGAAGCGAGTTCCATTTGCTGGGTCTGCCTTGTTCACTGTTGCAGCCCCAGTGACCATGGAAGGGATGCCCCCAAGATGCTTGAGGACCATTGACTCCCCTCCATGCTAAGAGCTGACACAGAGGCATGTGTCAGACATTTAGGAAGCCGAGGCACAGGGAGGTCACCCCGATAGCAGGAGAGGCGCCGGGGTGTCAGACAGTCTGCTCCCAAGCAGGATTCGCCTGGGCAGGACACCCTCTTTCCTTGGAGCCATGGGGTCTAGTTTACCAAGCCACTGATATCTGTGCCCCTGTTTGGTCCTCATGATACGAGAGACATGAATGGAGGCCTTTCGGAATGTGGGCTCTGATGGATGGTGGGCCTATCCAAGGTCACACCGTGGTCAGTGGGGGAAGCCGGCTGCCACTTGACATGTACCCACCTCCTTCATTAGCTCTCTTTCTTCTCTGCCAGATGTGTAGCCTCCTGTGGGCTGCTACAGCAAATTATCACAGAATTGGTGGCTTAAAAAAAACGCTTGGAGGGGTGGGATAGGGAGGGTGGGAGGGAGGGAGATGCAAGCGTGAAGAGATATGGGAACATATGTATATATATAACTGATTCATTTTGTTGTGAAGCTGAAACTAACATACCATTGTAAAGCAATTATACTCCAATAAAGATGTTAAAAAAAAAAAAAAAAAAAAACGCAAATTCGTGACCTCACGGTTCTGGCCAGGACTGAAATTAAGATGCCAGTGGGGTCAGCCTTCTCCAGAGGCTCCGGGGGAGAATCTTTTCCTTCCTCTTCCAGCTTCTGGGGGTCCTGGTTCTCCTTGCCTTGTGGTCTCTGCCCCTGTCTTGACATGGCCTCTTCTCTGCCTTGTGTCTGTGTCCAAACCTCCATCTCTTTTCTAAGACGGCAGGCATTAGGACCCCCCAAACCCAGGATGATTTCATCTTTCCTTGAACCTGAAAAGGCCCTGTTTCAAAATAATGTCACTTTCTGGGGTCCTAAGTAGACGTGAATTCTGGGGGGACACTCTTCACCCTACTACACAAGGTCACCTCTCCTTAGGTCGGCCACCACTGCTCCATCTTTTCTTGGCTCTGACACCCTGGTCCCCACTGGTCCGTGTGATTCCCTGGCCAGCCGTTCCCTCTCCAGCTGCCCCAGTTCCATCTCCCCCAGGCTCCAGAGCAGTCTCCCTGCACCGTGGCTTCTGTGCCACCCCACCTGCGTGTCTCCCTCTCCCACTGATTCTGAGCTTCCAGAGGGGAGGGACTGTGTCCCCAGCTCTCTGCCCAGACCTGCCAGGAGGAAGCATTTGAGGGCTATCCCGGGAATGCCCTGGAAGGAAAAGGAAGAAGTCAGAGGAGGGAGTGAGGGATGAAGGAGGAAGAAAAGGAGCGGGGTGGGCAGAAAACCCCAAAACAGGTCAATTTCAGCATCAGCGGAGGCGGCAGCTCAGGCCAAGGACCTTGCAGGCCTTTTCGGCTCATGGTCTTGGTCCACGGCCAGCTCCTCTGAAATCCGCACACCCCAAACAAGGTCATCGCAGTTCTAGTGACACCTTAAAGAAAGGATGCTCTTGGGCTTCCCTGGTGGCGCAGTGGTTGAGAGTCCACCTGCTGATGCAGGGGACACGGGTTCGTGCCCCGGTCCGGGAGGATCCCACATGCCGCGGAGCGGCTGGGCCCGTGAGCCATGGCCGCTGAGCCTGCGCGTCCACAGCCTGTGCTCCGCAACAGGAAAGAAATGCTCTTGAATATTTGCTGCTGTGTTTTCATTCTTGACAAGTATTTATTTTCCCTTCTCTCACCTTTTCTGGAGAAACCCTCCTGGGAGAGGCCCTAGACAGGGGCCAAGTGTTTGCTGATTTGAGCCACAAACACTTGACTCCAGGTCTTCCGTCTTTTGTTTTAATTGTGTGAGCTCTCTAGTTCATCCTCCCCCTGGGGACTCCCCTAACGACCAATCTCTGTTCACCAGGGACCTGTGGCTGTGAACTTGGCAGCTGGGGTTCCACTGGCTTAACGCTCATCAGTATTCACAAGTCACAATGCAAATGAAAATTTAAAGCTATGGTATGAGTGTATCTTTCTCCCCCAAAGCCGTAGGCATTACCTCATACTGTTACAAATAACCATGGTGTGTTTTCAGGTAGAATTGCTATTTGATAAACTCAGGGGCAATCGCTTTTTATTTCGAAGAAAGCTGTCATTAGTCTCAAAAGATTTGACATTTACTCTAAATGAGTGAGTGGGGCTTGCATTTCTAAAACCCATGGCTTTCATACAAAGCTTTGGAAAGTGTATGCATGTTAATGATGGGTAAATCAGAGCTGAAGCTGTCCACTGAGTTTCTCCAAGGCTGTGTTTCTCTCACATTCATTCCTCCGTGTTTCCTGTGCGTTGACAAAGGTTCTTTTCCCCCTAAAACTCCACTCAGGGTCTTCTGATGAGTTCTCCTGAAACCCGACCTTGTCTTTTGTACTTCTGCGTTGTCTCTGCATCGTCCGGTCTTAGCAAGGACCTGCTAAGTTGGTTTAGCCAGAATCCCCCATCCTCCCGACCTGATCATCTTCTGATCAGGTTGCTCATCCCCCGGGTGGTTTGATCCCCCTGGCCTGCCATCAGCAGGAATCCTGAACCTCTCTCACCTCTGATGTCTCCTCTTAGTAACTTTCCATCCACAGATCCCCACCTGCTCCTCGGCTACAAATCCCCACTTGTCCCCCTTGTGTTCAGAATTGAGCCCAGTTCTATGCTGAGGTGTCTTTTCCCCTTTGGTGATTGCAACTGAATAAAATCTGTCTTTACTGCTTTAACTACTGTCCTGGTTTTTCTTTGACTGTGTCTGCTGGTGACAGACGCCATGCTAGGGGTGCAGAAGTGAAGAGAGCAAAACCCCTGCCTTTGAAAAGCACAGCTTGGAGTTGGGAGCCCTTTGCTATAATGATGACATAGAGCAGAATTTTCCAGAAACTCCCCAGCCGAGATTTCGCTGCACATGGCCCGCTGTGTGCAAAAGGGATCAGCAAACTTCTGAAGGACCAGATAATAAATATTTTAGGCTTTGAGGGTCACATCAGTCTGTGTTGTACATTTCTTTTCATTTTTGCTTTGTGCGTGTGTGTGTGTGTGTGTGTCTTGTTTTTTACAATCTTTTAAAAGTGTAAAAGGCCTTCTTAGCTCACAGACTATACAAAAACCACCTGATTGCTGGGTGTGATCTTTTAAGAAACTGAATTGACATCTTCAACCCTGATTTAGTCATCATGAACGTGCATACACTTTCCAGAGCTCTATGTAAAAATCACAGATTTTAGAAATTCAAGCCCCATTCACTTCTTTACAATAAATGTCAAATCTTCTGAGATTGTACAAAAACTGGCAGAGGCCGTGGACAAGGATGACGAGGACAAGTTACTGAACCTCCCAGAGCCTCAGTTCCCAGGTCTATAGAGCAGAGACCATTACACCTGGGAGGTTTAGTGCCTAGCAAGGTGGGAGGGCTAAATTCCATCAGGAAGGGTAAGTGTCTGTACTCACCAGTAGAGACCCTGTGCTCAGTGAGCAGTCATTCCTGGGCCTCAAGAGGCCAGAAATCGTTAAGAATATTGAGGAGAAAAATATTCACACAATAATCCACTTGCAGTTCCAGGAAAAGAAAAGGGAAGGAAGCGAGAACACAGGGCTCCACTATCATAACAATCACTCTTCTGCTCCCTGTCTGAGCCCTCATGCCGGGGGAGAGACAAGCACTCTAGGTGTTGTCGGGCATTTATCCCCAGTTGTCATGTTTGTCACGTGCTCCTCCGTAGGCTCCAGAAATCACATTTTCAGCTTCTTTGTTTTCTCTTACAGAGACATCAAGCCAGACAACATACTGCTGGATGAACACGGTAAGCCTGTTATGAACGCTTTCTAGAGACTATTTCAGTGGGAACTTTGAGGCTCTGGGAATTTGGTCCTGGTCCTGGTGAGTTGGATTTTAGGTTTGACTAGAAAGCCTTCTTTTGTTTCAATCCTGGTGAATGAACAGCTGTGTAAATTTCTGGTCTGTGTCCTGCTGCGGTGAGTTAAGTCCAAGGTATTTGATGGTTTCATATCTAAAGACATCACCATTCACGTCCTGGTGTGAGGACAAGAGAGCAGAAATGGGAATGGGATACAAGGTTGGAAAGCTCTGAGCCTCCCAGCCCTGCTCTCCGACCTGTGAACCCGGGGCTTCAGAAATGTCACTCACCTCTCTAAGCCTCAATGTCATCTTCAGTAAAATGGGGAAAATGATACCCACCTTCCAGATTGTCATGGGGATCAAATGCGATAGGGTGTGCTTGGCAAGCTAGAAATCAGTAATCAGTAATCCTCTAAGCCTTCCCTCATCCAGGCTTCTCAAGCTTTTATGTGTGTACGGAGTGTGCGCATCTTCTTAAGCTGATTCAGTGGAGTGAGGTGGACCTGGGATTCTGCATTTATAACAGCTCCCAGTTGAGGCTGACACTGCAGGTCCATGGAGAAGGCTCCATGTCAGTGGCTCTCCAACTCTGGTCTTATCGGAATCCCCTGGGGGATTTGGTAAGCATCAGAGGCCAGACCCTGTCCTGTTTAGAGAACCTGGGCCTCTGTGTTCTGAGTCAGTCCCAGAGATGTGGTGCCCAGTCAAGTCAGGACAAGTCCAGGGCACAGCCCAGCAATGACTGCCAGTCTACTGCAGTCCACGCCAAAGGCAGCTTTGCAGCCAACCATCATGGCAGTCTTGGAGACTAAATTCCCCGATGTTGCTTCAGGAACTCATCTCCCGAGGGCTTTCGGGGCTGTGGGCTGGAGCGAGCAGACGGGGATTTTTCTGCTGTGCTGCTGAATCTTTCAGGGACGAGTCTGCCGCCTCATCTACACGGCTCCTCTGACCTACCTCCCCCACTCCCTCCCGCAGGCTGCGGCTGTGGCTCCAGCCCGAAGCCCCTCTAGGACTTGTGTGTGTCACCAGTGTGTCTCAGGGAATCCTGCCTCGTTGTATAGACCCCTTGGTACCGGGAGACAGAGTGGGAGTGGTGGATGCGACCATCTGGGCTCCAGTCTCCTGCCAGAGCCTGAAACCAGCCCAAGTGCTTTGGGGCAGAGAGGTGAAATCCCTGTGCTCACGAATGGAAGGTCAAGGATGACCTTAGGTTGCCAGGGGGAAACTGAGCAGAGCTGAGGCTGCAAATCAAGGTCCCCAGTTTGTATCTAAAAGGCAGGAACCCCAGACCTGGGTCTCAGCTGGTCCCCCAACTAGCTGTGTGTCTTCAGGCAAGTTGCAAAACAAGTAATACCGCCTTGCAGGGTGGCAGAGGTCTAAGACAAGATGGGGAGGATGAGCCACTGTCCCAGCACCAGGACATAAAGGTGCTCGGGAGGGCTTGTATTAGCTTATAGCTCTCAGCCTCTCCTGTCCCTTCTCTGCTCAGATCACAGAAGCAGGTGAGGTGGAAGGAGAAGAGGCACAGGCTGGGTGATGCAGGACCCCTGGCAGGGCTGTCCTGGAAACCAGGGGTGTGGAGGGCAGGGTTCTGGCTGGGATCCTCACGGCCCCAGCCTAGAGATTTGAGAGAGACTTTTGGACAAAGACCTTTCAGGCCCTGGGCAGCTTTCCAGAAGCAAAATCAAGGCAGGAACGCCAAGCAGTAGGAATAATTCAGCCGTTTCCTCTAGGATGAAATGAGACTCAGCAAGCCTGTGGGGTTAACCAGGGCCTGCCTGATGCCGTAGTTCCTGCCCGATGCTACAGCCTCGGGTCAGAGCTCACACAGCCTTCTCCGGGTTCCCTCGTTCCTGGGCTCCTGGATCTCCGTCCATCCCTTCCTACCTCCCCTTCTGTGCTCGTCCTCACTTCTACCCCTCAGCCCTTTCCCACTTTCCTCCCAGATCTCCCCATCCTTCCCCACCTCCCGCATGCCTTACACAGTGTCCTGACCCTGCCCTCTGGCTTTGCAGCATCCCACACACTCCCCAAGGATTCGAACCCTCCTGTCTCTTCTCTAAGCTCCTTTTTTATCAAGCTTGCTGTCGAGACAGAGCACTGAACACTATTTCATACTAAGATGTGAATGGCTTATGCCCTCCCCTCCATCAGTTTTAGCATCCAGTGAGTGCCTTTTTGGGCAGTGCAGAAGGAAAATCAGGAGCAGAGGATTCTCAAAAAACACAAATCTTCTCCCCTAGGAGAGAAGGACAAGAGAGGAGACTGTGGCTATGTTTTTCCTTCTCCTGATTTATGACAGGAGATAGATGCTCATCAGCTTTTCTTTCTTTTTTTCTTACTTAGTCATTGTTGCCTTTTTTCCCCCTCCAGCTTTATTGAGGTGTGATTGGCAAATAAAAACTGTATATGTTTAGGTTGTACAATGTGATTTTTTTAAAGGTGTACAACATGATGATTTAATACACATATACATTGTGAAATTAACAACACAAGGTAATAAACGTATCCAGCACCTCTTAAGGTTCCGTTCTTATTGTGTGAGTGGTGAGAACATTTAAGGTCTACCCTCTTAGCAAATTTCAACCACACACCACAGTATTATTAACTACTGTCACCATGCTGTACATTAGATCTCCTTACCCTGTTGTTAAATGCATTTAAAAAAAAAAAACAGCTTACAAAACAGATAACTATTTCTATTTAAAGAGTTTGCTGATTGATCTCATTAAGTGTTTTCTCAGAGAACAAGTTGGTTGCTGTGTTTACAGTGAGTCATAAGCATAATTAAATAAATGCATTCATATTTTATTCAAAATGTTCAAGATCTGCTGGTTATACAAAATCCAAGGCTCTCACAGAAGCGTCTCTGCTCCCCCGGTGTCTGCTCTGCTTCCTGATCTTGCAGGCTGGTTTTATCTCCTAGAATGGGCGCTAATTCTACTCTGAGATTTGGGGTCTCTTGGCTAGCAGCAAAAGCAGAGGGAGACCGTACCTGGAGGTAAAATGAAGTTGAAGGAGGATGTAGCATTATAGCACAGTGTGAGAGGAAGAGTTGAGAGTGCTTTAGGGCTGAGGGCAAATTGCTCTAGGAAATGGGGAATTTAAAACTGTAGCGGGAAGGGGAAGGGATTGCATTCATTTTCTGTTGGTACAATAATGCTGGGTGATGAATAACCACATGAATTTAATGGCATAAACAAGAAGCATCCAGTTAGCTCACAGGCCTGTGGGGTTATGCTCTTGTAGACAGGGCTTGCTCCTAAGACTGAGGTCCTGCAGGGTCAGCCAGGCAGCTACGGTGACATTGGCTGTGCTCACTCCCATGTCTGGGGGTCGCCTGGCTGCCAGCTGGCATACCGTGACCTTGGCTCATTGACTGGGCAAGTCGGCCCAGCTCCTCATGGCTCACCTTCTGGCAGGCCAGCCCTGTGTGACCTCGCGTGGCCATAGCAGAAACAGAGGCAGGGAAAGCCCAGTCCCTTAAGCCACCACCTGCATCACATTTGCTGCCATCCCAGTGGGCAAAGCAACTCACAAGACCCCACCGGGTCGGGGTTGAGCACTGCCAAATGACATGGCGAAAGGAAGGATACAGAGGAGGAGGAACTGCGGAGATTAATGCAGTCATCCAGCAGATGGGCAGGTGGGGGGCTGGTCTTTAACACGTGGGAGCTTGACTTTCCCCCAGATGAGCAAAGAGCCGAGAGTCAGAGACAGAAGGGCAGTGCCTGCGTTTTGCCCTGAGTGTCTACTGAGGACCCTTGGTCAAAATGTACTGACCATATACTGTCAGCTTTCTTATCTGGGGTTTCACATTCTCGAATTGAACCAACCTCAGATGACAAACATTCAGGAAAACAACTCCGGAAAGTTCCAAAAAGCAAAACTTGAATTTGCTGCTAGCTGACAACTATTTACATAACATACGCATTGTACTTACAACTATTTACATAGCATTTACATTGTACGAGGTATTGATAAGTAAAAAAAAAAAAGTATATGGAAGGGTGTGCCCAGGTTATATGTAAATTGTACACCATTTTATACATGGGACTTGAACATCCAAAGATTTGGGTATCAGTGGGGGTCCTGGAACCAATCCCCTGCAGATACTGAGGGACAACTGTAGCTCTGTCCTCTTCTGTATGCAAGAAAGTAATTCCTTCACTTTTGCAGACCTGCCATAAGCCAGGTGTTGTGACAGGCGACCCACGGACACAGACCCCCTGTGGCCGAGGACATCGTGGTCTAGGGTGGCGCTTCTCAGCCACGGCTGCATGTCACCCAGGAACCATAAAAGGTGCCGATGCCAAGGTCCCACCCGCAGAGGCACTCACTTGACTCATCTCGCAGGAGAAAGTGCTGGGCGGGGTGTGTGGGGGGGTGAACGTGGGGTTAAAGCTACCAGGTGGTAGCTTTAAGGTGTAGCCAGGGCTGAGGGAGGGACAGAAAAGTAGACAGGTGATTCTGACCCAGCAGGGTCAATGCTGGGACGGGCAGGGGTGAGGCTGTGCGGGAGCAGAAGGGCAGTGAAGCTGGGGGAGGGGGAGGGGGAGGAGGAGGGGGAGGGGGAGGGAGGACTTTCTGGATCCTCCCTCCAGAGTGTGGGCACCAGAGCATTTGGGAGCAGAGCATTCCAGAGGGCAAAGGAGAAAGCTCCACTGGCCAGAGGACAGCAGGCTGTGAGGCGTAGAACTCCTTCTTTTCTCAGGGACCTCGGGATGGGCGCTTGGGGATGAGAAACCTCACCTGGATGTTTAGTAACAGATGACACAGCAGCCGTGCCAGCAGAGTGAATCTGTTTTCTCATTGTATCCCTAAACACCCCAGTGCCAGGATCCAGACAGCCAGGGACAGCTCCTGTGCCCCAGAACCCCTGAAATCATTCAGCCTAGCCAGTCCTAAGCCTGCTTGCCCTGCCTTGCCTGTTCCTTCCCA